GTCCTGTTGACCTGCAGTCAACTTCCCATGGCAGAGGAGAACTATAAAAAGTAAAGGTCTCTTTGGTTCAGTTACATACCTCATGGAATTTTTTTCCTGAAAGCTGAGTGTAGTAACAAAGCTGTGAGCCAGTGGACCTTTTCCATTATTTTTATTTTTGTATTTGCCACTAAAAAGAGTGTATTTTATAATCTGTATAAATAGCTATATATGTGTCGATATTAACCCTTATGATACTGATATTTTTAATAACTACAGTCACACTGAAAGATATGAGAGATGGTGGAATGAGAAGGAGAAGGGTTTGAAGGATGGAGTACCACCAGGATGTCTGTGAAAGTCTGAAGTACCATTTTAAGTGTGCCAGTGAGGGAGGAGGTTCAAATCAAAGCCAGTGGAAAGAATCTCCTAACTTCTTGCAGCTTGGTGGTGGTCAGCTTTACTCCTAAAAGGTATTTTAAAGCGCTTTTTGCTAGTGCTCTATAGCTAATACATTCAGTGGAGCTCTGCTTTATACTGTCTCAGTTTGGCTGTCAACAGATGACCCTTAAAAGCAGTGTCTGAAGTTTGCTCACATGGGTCTTAACTCTTCTGATTCTGATTAAAATCTTGGTCATATGGAACAAAGGACCTTTCAGTGGGTTTTCTGGGGTTTGCCAGATTTCTTCAGACCTTTTTAGCTATGACCATGTTTTCTTGGATTTATATATTTCTTTACAGTATTGAATTGCTAAGAGTTGTGTGCAGAGCAAAAGTCTTTGAAGCAGCACCTCAAAGACAGAGTTTGATATCTTTGCATTAGCAGACCAAAATCACATTTATCTGGATAGTAAAAAGAGGCTCCACCCATGGAGAAAGATTCTCAGAGGGAGATTTCCTATGTCTTGGGATGAACCAAAGGGGTCAGGTTTTTCTTGCTGAGATTACTGCACCCATCTTCTAGGAGTATATGGTGACTTCTTACAGGACTGCAGTTTATACCAAACCAGGGTAGTGGCTGCATGGCTTGAGAGAGTGCCTTATCCTGCTGTCAGCTCCGTGCAAGTAACTGAATGGTTGTACAAGAGACTCGTGAGTACACCAAACAACTGGAAGGAGAGCAGAGAAGAAGGCTTAGAACAGACCTACACAAATGATGGACTCAGGTCTGAATCTGGGCAAATTGTAGACAAATAATGCCTGCTGTGTTCCTGTCCAAGATCTCAATATTTATTACTCTTCCCCTGTCTCTTGGGGACCAGCTTAAGAGCACCCTTACAATTCTTACCTGTGAGGGCAGTGTGCAGTGCAGAGCTAGAGCAAGAATACTTGATTTTTTTTGCTAAATGGACTTTGGTTAAAATGAACCTAAGTAGTCCTGGCTCAGGTGCTACGATACAGCAGTGAACAGAGGTCAGCAGTGTGAACTCAGTGATCCAAACAGTGGAAAGTGTTCGTTTTCCATCAGCTCATCAGACAACTGCCTCCCAACACAGTTATCTATTGTTAACAGATTTTTTTGTAGTCACTGCAGCTCTGTTATGTATTTTGCAACCTGGCACAGATTAATAGTTCTCTGGCAACCCTGCTCCAAGGCTTTGAAAGCCTTTATGAAGGGCATCAGTAGGCAAGCCAAGCCCAGAAAAAGCTTGTGGTAGCACAGTGCCTTCACAAAGCCTCCAAAAGACTGGGGGGTCCCAGACCTACTCACAGATACATGCTGTAGGGACAGGGGTGGTTGTTACTTCCTATTGATTCTGTCTGAAGATTTCACTGAGCTACATTGCCTGCTGCCTCAGCTGGGAAGTGGATAGCATTGTTTTCCACACACTGAATGGAGGAAACTATGAAAAGGAACTTACTGGAGTTTTTCTTTTTCCCTGGGTATTTCCAGAGGTTGTGGAGAGGTGGAGATCACCTGCTTTTCCGTCATTTAGCAAACTCCTGTCTGTATCATTTGCTGGTTTCTTTAAGCATCCCTGCCAATATATCTCTCCTATAAACCATATACTTTTTGTATTCCTTTTCCCTTTTGCATATGGAATATCAGTGTATAGGAAGGGTTAAAATGTTAAAGCTATTGAGTCCTTTTTGATTTGACATTGTTGAGTGAGCTGCAGAAAGCCTGCCTGTTCTTGAGCATGCTGCAGAGTAACTAGAAACAATGGAGCAAGGGAGAAACTGAAAAATCCTGTCCCAGTTCTGTGATAACAGCAGATATATTTGTGAAACCAAAGTGCTCTTTCTGGACTTCAGGTTGGGTAGACACTGTATTTGCTATCGTGTTTGAGAACTGTTTGTCTTGTGTCTTGTGTTTGTTATCCATTGAAATTTGTTTTCTGAATTTTTGTAAGTGAAAGAAATTCTTATGCCGGCTGCAGGTGGAGAGTTTTATGCAAGACCAAGGCAAGACAAGAACAAAATTATTTTCCAGAGATATTCTATTCTGTTTCAGAGGTTAGTCAGTTTAAGATAGTGTGGTTTTATGGCTATGTTAAACTTGTACAAGACAATGATAGTGACTTTTTTTTTTTTTTCCCATCAGAAGCTTTTTTTTTCTCAGGCAGATTTCAGCTGTAATCTTTATTGCAAGTTTTATTTAAAGTTTTTGCAGACTTTTCACAAAGGAAATGTGAAATCTACAAATGTGGTATCTACAGACTGGTAAGTAGAGTACTTCATTAGGGTGAGACAGGTACACAGATTGAAACAAAGGAGTTTTTCATCTTTTTCCTCTACTTAGCTTGCTTGAATACACTATCTCTGAGAAGACAAAAGAGTTAAGATAATTATTTACATCAAGGAATTGCTTGGTGCTCAGTTACTGAAGATAAAAATCAGGGCAATTTGTCTGCCATCTATTGTCACCAACGATGCAATTGTCAGCTCTCATTTAGACTATCAGGCAGCTGACAATTTCCATTTCCTTAACTCTGTCTCAGTCATCTGACTAACCTTGTACAGTCAATCCTAGCATCTGACAGAGGCTTGGGGCTTTGATGAAGTGGAGAATATCAGCCTTGGAGTGCGAAAGGAACCAAGAATATCAGCCTTGTTGGTTTGAGAAAGCAATATGAAATGGTAACTGACTTTTACTGCCATGGCAGTTCAGTTGTTTGTTCTTTCAGCTTCTCACCTGGCATGCCTTTAAAATCCAAACAAGAACATATTAACTACAAAGCACAATAGTGACTAAGGTTGCTGTTTTCTGTTCCCCAATGGGAATGAAATTAAATGAGAATGAGGTACCGCACCTGCCTCAGTGCTTCTAGCAATCCTGCTAGATAAGTATCTAGTAAATATCTATGTTCTTTAATGATAAAAAAATCCATCCTGGTTTTATATTGATTTTTAACTGAGATAGAAAGTGGCATGTTTGCAGGAAAAGCTGAGATATTTTTTGGAATAAGTTTGAGATTTGTGAATCCAACTGGCTGTTCTGCATAATATAAAATTGCTACCTTAAAGTAATTATGTATTTTGAGTTGCTTGAAATAGAGAAAGCCAAAAAGGCATAAGAACTAGAGATGGAACAACCAATTAAAAAGAGGATTTTCAAAATTTGTCACAATGTAGATTGTGTTTCCCTGAATCCACTTACTTGCATAGTATCTTGGGGTAACTTTGTAAGGATTCCTCAGAGAACTGATATCATGGCAATATTGACAATGCATTTTGTCTGTCTTATACTTCAGAAATCCACCAAAGAGCAGTATTTTACGAGGTACTGGGTGGATCTTTGATTTGCAACTGTTTAGGTTCTGACCTGATAATACTAATTACAACATGGAAGTAAGACTACCAAAAGGTAGTGGATTTGGGGGTTTTTTTGGTGGAGGGGAAGGTTTGTGGGTTTTTCAGATGCGTTTATATGTTTTCTGGGGTACCATGGAATAAACTGTCCAAGACGATGTGGTACCTATTAGAAATCCAGGAGTCCTTATAAGCTGGAATACCTGAGAAACTAGCAAGACTTTTTTGCTAATTATTAGTTGGCATGGTTTGTATATATACAGGTACATGGTCACAGTCAGACATGTTAGAAAAGGATGTGCCACTCCCCTCAGTGGTAAGGCCAGAGTAAAGTTACCATAGGTCCCTAATAAACAATTTCCTAATGCAGCACTGAGAAGACTTGAAATTGTGTTGAGAAATGATATTGTTATTTCTAGGAAACAGAGCAGTGGCTGTCATTGATTGTAAAAATCAGGATGAATGCAAGAATTTTGAACAAAGAAACCTTACTTTTGTACTAGGACAGTGTAACAGAAAGAAATAATTTGTCACAGCTTTTGTGAATCAGTGTGGTGTGGTTATGTCCCACCACGCAGTGGCTCACAGTCTCGCCTTGCACTCAAAGACACTGTGCTGCAGGCTTATGCCAGGACACCCTTCTCTTCCTGTGTGATCACCATGTAATTGTCACATTCCCTTTGAATTTACCCTTGCATTCCCTTCTCACGTGACCTGATTTAGTCAATCATCTCATGTATCAGTGTTTGGATTCAGTTAGAGCTTTGTGTGTAACAGAGAGCAAGTTTTGTAGAGAGGCCTACTGTATGTTATTAGACCAGCAGATTTAGCTGAAAAACTTTTGGGCTCCCAAATCCAATATATGCTAGAGGGTGTGTATATAAAGAGTGTTGTTCTATAGGAGGACAGACCTGCTCTTCCTTGGCTGTGATTGCTCTGTCATTTTCACACTGCAGGAGGTAGGACAGATGGAAAAATAAACCAACTAAGACATGGGTGTGGGGAAAGCATAGAGTAGAGGAGCAGAAACATGCTAACAGCTAATGCCTGCCAAATTGCTCTCCAAATAATGAGAAATCTGTGTCAGCTCCCACACTGACTGCTTCGTGCAGTAAAACCATTGGCTAAACCTCTCTTAAATATCCACCCTTGGCCCAGTTTCATTGGGGAAGTGTTGGATATGGATTTTTTGCAACTCGTATGCATCATGTATGATCACGTTTGCATCATAGATGTTTTTAACAGGTCCCTGTGACAAAGGTGAGAAGATGCTAAAGACATGGTATTCTTTCCTGCTGTGCTGGCTGTCCTGGCAGCTTGAAGCTAATCCTGGTCTTAAAGTGAGGATTACTCAGAAGGGGCTGGACTATGGTATGTCAAACATTGCCAGAAGTTAATTTATGATAAATACTCTATGCATCTAATACAGTTCCTTAATAAAGTGCAATGTAGAAACAAGCTCCTTAAATATTGAAATAGAATAAATTCCTTTTGTCACTTCACACCAGGAACACCGTTTCCAAAAAACAGTATTTCCTTCCTTTTTGTGCACCCCAGGTGTGAATTTATCCTTGCACTGGTGATTGTATTCTCCTACAGTCCAACAGTGTTTCTACTACATTTGTTGTGTCGATCTATTTCTTAGAACCAGAATGAGATGGCCACATAACTGCTCCTTTTTTAAAAAGTGTCAAAGAACTGAATGAAAGTGCAATATTTAATTGAAGACAATAAGACATAACTGGGAAAAAAGCTTACAATTTTGGAACACCCACATAGCTGCACACCTTTACTGTCATTCCTCCTTTTAGTGTGAGATAGCATCTACTTGTGCCATTCTTTCAAAAAAATGTAGTAACTGTCTGCCATAATTCTGCCCCTTAACAGAATATCAGCAATTTCCACAATATATTTTCCTTGCCCTTTTTATTCATATTGACTTTCACAGTCTCTTACCTAAGACTTACTCCATGGGTGTGGAGGGCACACAGTATAATTTCAATTGTTTACAGAATTAATATTAATAATAAAGATTAACAAGGCACAAATTCAACAGAGGCTGGGTCATGCTAAGGATTAATCATCATTTATGTACTGAACATGGTGACAGGTAAACAATGGACTTGTGAGATGAAAAGTAGAAGCTCAGGGTTTATGCCTTTGAGATGAAAGCAAGGATCAGGTCCACTTGTTTCTCTTTATAAGCATTGTTTTAAAGGCTTTTGGGCAGTTGGGAAGTGCAGGGCAAACCTCAGTCACCCAAAACAGAACTGATCTCTGTATCTTTTTATGACACACAGGAAAAATCACTCCCTAGGGATCTCTCATGCCTTTAGAAATGAGAATTCAGCCTGGTATTTCTTAGTGTGAGCCCAGGAGTTTTTGTGACATTCAGCACATCCTTCAAGTGCTGAACAAACAGACTGTTTGCACACCTCTGCGTTAGTAGTAAGAACAGACATTCACAGTGCACCTCCCAAAAGCATAGCTCGTATTTAAAGAGCTTGGTGCTTATTGTGTCTTTTCCCTTAGTATGAGATTCAAAGGCTGAGGCAATAAACCCCACCTGCACGATCCTTGCCTGCTGCAAGAACCTTTAGAGAAATTCCACCTGGGACTGGCTGCCTTCACTGACAGTCATAAGAGCTTTAAGTTACTTCAGTCAGAACTGATATTTTGCTTTGGAGGCAGGAATTCACGTGGAATCATAACTTACCTCTCGTTCATAAAAGAAGCATTTTATAAAGAGGTATTCCAGTGTTGAGTTATCATTGATTTCAGTTCTTTGCTTCTTTAATACACTGAAGTCTGGGGGGGAGAAAAAAATAGATATTTAATATTCAGTAACTGTGAGGCTAAAAGCTAAGGAAACTCATGCTGAAAAAATCTGAAAGCAGGACATCATTCAGTATTAAAGTTTTAGCAGTGTCTTCATCAAAGATGAGCAAAAAGACAGAAGACACAAGGAATTTGGGATTTAAAGATGTTCTGTTTGTTGATGATAGCGTCTGTGTGTATTATCAATGGACAAGTAACACTGAAGCATTCCAGAAAGTAGAGATTCCTTAAAGCAAGGAGAGAAGGTAAGGAAATAAATCAGACATCTGCAGCATGCTGTAATGGATAAGGTGCAGTGGCAAAACATAGGTACTCCGAAAGAAATTTAAAAGAATTGTCTTTAAACCTCAAACAACTTCCTGTACACAAGCAACAATCCAGATAGCTAGTTTGCATTTGAAATACCAGCACTTCAGATGTATATACCACACCTTTTCTGTAAGTAAACACTACATATAGAAGTCATCTTGCTGATTTGTAGCTGGCTTCTTCATTCAAGAGGTATGAGACAATCTGAGGTAAAGGTGATGACCAAATATTTCCCAAGGCTTTCACACTGTCAGTGAATTGAAGGAAGTATAACAGTTTCAGAAAACTGACAAGTTCTAGAATATAAAATACAACTCAGGGACAAGATTATCTTGGTTAAGTTATTTGTATGTGAGGCTCATAGAAGTTATCAATGGATGTAGTTGGAAGGAGGTCTAGGTAAGGGTTTGAGAATCAGAAGTTTTAATGAATTATGTTAAAAGTGGTTAAATTATTTGGCGGTGTATCTGGATTTTTGAGTGCCTGAATCCAATCTGCAAGCCATGTGCTTTCCTCTCTCTTCTTGTAGGCAAGAGGACTGGGATGGAGCTCCTGAAGCAAGCAGTATTGAAAGAGACCTTCCCAAGCTGGAGTGGGCAAGAGAGTTTCTCGGTTGTTACAGTCAACTATGTAATTTCAAGGTAAGTAAAGGAAATACATTTCAAAGTTTTAGGTTGAAACATCTTATTGTATTGTTACTGCGGAGTAATAATTATGCAACCTTTTTTTTTTTTTTTTGTTAAGTGGTTTATCTAACTCTGCTCCCACTGCTCAAACACTGATTTGTTTTATAAGTACTTCCTTCTACTACACTCAAGAGATGAGCTTTAGAAAGCTTCTGAAGGAGCACCTTGGCTGTTTTTTTAGTTGGTTTGTCTCAGAGTTTGGGGCAAGGCAGGTGTAAGCATGGCTGTGACACAGCAGGGGAAATGGGTGGGAAAGAGGGAAGAATCGGTGTTACTAACAGTCTGCTACTATGAAGGACCTGTAGCAGTGAAAGTAATTTGTTTGTGTTTACTGAAAAAAAGATAACAAAGGGACAAGATGAAAATGTGTGCAGGAGAATGGTGTATCTGGGCTGAGGTGGCAGGAAGATGACGTTTACAGAACCTTTTTGGATGGATTTACAATGGTAAATCAGCATTTTGATTGGATAGGGTTCAATACCTATATCCTGCTGAGGAAAATCATTATACTGGGAGCAGCCAGTAGAAAAACATGTTTATAGAGTTTCCTACAATTTCTACAAATGAGACTAATATAAAAGTTTTTTATACTGCCTTCAATCCCATCTTCCAGTTAAAGCTTTTTAACTGGAAAACAGAAACTTCTGGTCTTTTAATATTACTATCAAGCCAAGCTCTGCTGCTCAGTAGCATTTTATTTTCTTTTCCTTAGTGTCATGGTTTTGGCTGGGATGGAGCTAATTTTCTTTTTAGTAGCTAGAATAGCACTGTGTTTTGGATTCAATATGGGATTTGGTATGAGGAGGATGTTGATAATACAGTGGTGTTTTTAGTTGTTGCTAAGAAATCAATGACTTTTCAACTTCCCATGCTTTGCCAGTGTGCAGGTGCAGAAGAAGCTGTGGGGGCAGGAGGGAGCATAGCAAGAACAACGGGCCCAAACTGGCCAATGGAATATTCCATATCATGATGTCATGCTCAGTATATAGATGAGGGTTGGCTGGGAAGCTCTCTCGCTTACAGGATTGGGGCTTGGGGGTTTTCTCTTCTCTGGGATCGCTAGCTGGGAATGGACTGGGCATTGATTGGCGGGTGGTGAGCAATTGCATCACTCATTTGTGTATTCCAGTATTACTATTATTATTTTTATTTTATTTTATTTCCATTATTAAATTGGTTTTATGTCAACCTACAAGTCTCCTTACCTTTACCCCTTTAATTCTTTTCCCCATCCCCCGGGGTGGGGGAGGGTGGGCGAGCAGCTGTGTGGTGTTTGGCTGCCAGCTGGGTTAAAACCACAACACTTACAAATTACCCAGAGCAAGAAATACCAATCTGGGAGACTTCATGTACTTTCTACTGGATAGGGCCTACATCCTTCTTCTATACCTAATATTTTCCTAACAGCCTGTTTCCAGCAGGCTTCGTGGTATTATACCACCCTTGCAACCTTAATCCCTGCACGTCTGAGAGAGATGTGTTTGGACAGTCTGGAGAAGAAGAGGCTATGGGGGTGGAGGTGCATGTGTCTTACTGCGTGTCTTCCACTGTCTTCTGCTGGACCCCTTGAGTTGGTCCAGCTTTGAGAAGGAGGTCGAACCAGAAAATCTCCTGAGGTCCCATTCCAACCTAAATTCTTATATGATCTTCAAAACCCCAATCCATTCTGCCAACCATAGTTCTTGAAATTGGCCATCTTCCCAGTGGATAATCTGATTTTAGCTCCCTGCAAACACGATTACTAAAGACAGCCTTACTGCTGCCCAAGATGATATTGGAAAATGATGGTCATTTTAACTAAAAGTAGCTCATGCTTTCTGCCCTGGGGAAAACAGATTAAAGGCAGTTGTTTCAGAAATCTCTGCCAGATATCAGGAAACAATGAGGAATGTATACTACATGATGAGATTACAGCTGATATCTTTACAATGTTCAGCTCAATTCAACACACCCATTTGCAAGACAGTATCTCTGAGTATTAGAAACGTTTGTTTTGTCAGGGAAAACTTCAAGTAAGATTTTGTTTAGAAGAATGGATCCTCTCCAGAGGCCTTTGCTGAGGCAAAGGAGGGGATACAAAATGCAGAAAGAGAAACTAATTCAGCAAATGCTGGCATTCAGACAACTGGATTTATTTATAGATGTAGCATCTGGGTTTAACACACAGACTTGTTTTCCCCCAGCAAGCATATTTCACTTTAAGGGCTTTGTTTTGATTCCAAGGGGAGGCTTATGTTTTGTCCAAGTATCCTTTTTTGCCTGGACAAATATAAAGGATTCTTTCTCCAAGGATGCTACTAAGTGTAATGGTACAAATGTCTGTCTTTCCTAAAATACACAAGGGTCAGTCATTTCTGAGAAATTATTTTACCAAAGCATTTGCCTTTCATAACAGAAGGATTTGTAGTAATCAGAAGTCCTTTTTACTCTTTTGACATGCAGTCTAATATCCCCCTTTCTGTATTCTGTAGGCTCAGAATTAATGCTGTAGATTTACCAGAAACTTCTGCTTCCTTTATTCCTGGCACTGGCATTAGCCTGTCAGTGGCACATGCTTCTGCTACGATCAGTGCAGACTGGAGAATGAACACATGGCTGCTGTAAGTATTGTACAGTGCGATGCAGGTGCAGAGAGCAGTTCTGGGAGAAGGATTGCAAATGAAATTCATAAATCTAGTTGGTAGCTATTATTTTTTCAGGTCAGATGTGCTCTATCATTTAACAACAATCTGTTTGAATAAACTTCTTAAGAAGGAACATCCCCTGCCAGCTAATGTGGGTTTCTTTTCTTTTCTTTTCTTTTCTTTTCTTTTCTTTTCTTTTCTTTTCTTTTCTTTTCTTTTCTTTTCTTTTCTTTTCTTTTCTTGTCTTATCTTGTCTTGTCTTGTCTTGTCTTTTCCCGTCTTTTCTCTTTTCTTTTCTTTTCTTTTCTTTTCTTTTCTTTTCTTTTCTTTTCTTTTCTTTTCTTTTCTTTTCTTTTCTTTTCTTTTCTTTTCTTTTCTTTTCTTTTCTTTTCTTTTCTTTTCTTTTCTTTTCTTTTCTTTTCTTTTTTTTTCTCTTAATTATTCTACCCCACAGGTTGTCTCTTTGGGAAGTATCAGGTCAGACACCTCAATTGAGCATACTCAATTTGTCCAGACTGTATATTACATGATGTTACATGAATATTCAGGGACACAGACTTTGCAATGGCCACATTTGTTACTTTCTTTGTACAGTATAACTGGAAGTTTGACTCTGTAGCTAATTATCTATTTGCTGGTACAGTGTCTATTGTCTTCCAAAGTGCTTCTGTTAAAGGAAGGGCACTGTCACAATGCCAAATATTCAGAACTTTGGAAATTCCAGAATTCAGGTTACTAAGGAAAACTGACTTAGCTTCCTGGGCCTGTGCACGATGAGATTGTCTTTAATATAACTGCATACCGATTTTTCTACTTTTTTATCTCAGCATTTTTGCTACAGAATTTTAATATAATATTGTAGATTTTCTTGGGAGCTGGGAGAGGGCTAGAACTGGGATATCAGAAAAGTTTGCAAGGTGCTAATCTCTTCAATTTGGGTTAATGGAGTAACTGGTAGCAGCAGTAGCCGTTACTCTTATTTGTGAGCCAGGGAGTACAGTGAGACGGATCACCAGGCTGCAAGTTTCACAGCATGTCCTGATTGCAAAGGAGCACGGACACGCAGTTCTACCTTCAGTCTCAGTACTGGTGGCTGGAAACTGCTGTCACTGTGCCCCCAACCTGTCTGTTGTGAGGAAAAGTATACTGTGTTCAGCGGGGCAAATCAGCTGTTCACAAACACAAAGCCACCTCTCCCTCTTGCTGAAAGATAAGGACCTGGGCATAATCTGGAGAGACCCCAGATGTACAAAACTCTAAAGACAGCAAAGGAGGGAGGGAGCTGCTATGCAGGATTTTGTGGAGCAGATTGTGGTGGAGGTGGTCAAAGCCAGTTTTGGTGGAGTTGAGGGGGTGAAGGCTTTCATGCCTTTTTGAGGGGCAGAAGGAACAATCTGTGGTGCTCTGTTCAACATGGTGTTCTGTGAATGGCTGTAGGTTTAGACAGGTCCAGAATATGCCCTACTCTTCATCCTCCCTAGTCCCTAGTTCTACATGTTGCATTCAGCATAGCACACTAAGAGGGGAAAGCTAAAAATGAGCTTTCCAAGAGAAGCCATTGATAACCCACCCCTCCTGGGGTGTTTCCAGGGTCAGTAAGATGGGTCTTATCACAGCTTTTTAATTGTGATATTGTTATCCCTGCATTTCCATCTCTCATTGTCATCCTCCTCTCCACTGTTGCCCAGAGCAGTCAGCTGATCACAGAATCTTCTGGCAGGCTCTTTGCTCCTGGAAGCCTGGAGCCAAGACCCTGCCTCCATGAATCAGGTTTCCTCCTGAATAAGAGCAGATTATAAGGATGCAGGAACAAATGACCTAAGTAGCAGCCCAAAAAGGGGGAAGGAGGACTGACATCCTTTTGCAATGGTCCCTGTCACTGCAGTATGGGTAAATCTAGGTTGGAAGGATCTCTGGAAGTCATTTTGTCCAGCCTCCTGCTCAAAACGCAGCAGTCACCAGACTAGATCAGGTCAACTGTCTACTGGTGGTGTTTAGCCAAGCATGGTGATGCCACAACCTCTCCAAGTAACCTGTCCCAATGTTGCACAACCTTCTTTGGGAAAATGTTTTTCCTAATGGCTTGCAGGATGCAGATTTGGTTAGAGATTGGAAAATGAGGGTCTGAAGAGTGGTGCTTCCTCCAGATAGCCACTTGATGCACATACACAAACTGAAAGGTAGGGTTGAAAATAGTAGTGGCAGTAGGAGGGACTTTGTGACTGTGACTCCTCACAGGTTTGGTCAGGGGTAGTCTATGGTTCAGGGCTGGGTTAAGATTAATCTTTTGGGATTACAACCTCTTTCCCCAGGATTTTTGTTTAGCCTGAAACATAAAGAGGAAAGCTGAGAGTCACGGTTTGAGCTGCATGTTGGTCTGGGCACTTTCACCGTAATATGGTGCAGCCACTGTAGTAATGTCTGGGGAAAGAAAACCTGAGTTATCAGGATGAAAAGGTGAAAAGTAATACTTTTGGTGCCCATTCTGTTATGGTAAATAAGGTTTTTATAACATCCATTCAGCTCTCTGTGTCCTACTTGATTGGTCTATAATTTCTACAACTCCTAACCATAGTCCTAGTGCCTAAATTTGCTGGAAGGTAAAAGGTATAAGGATATTTTTGTTGGGGTCTTAGAAGGTATTTTTACAGAAAGGAGGCAGAATGAATGGGTTTGGGGCAGGACAACGAATGGAGAAATGTATACATTTTAAACAGTTATTGAAAATTGTTACAGGAAAGAGGAAAGTGGAACAACTGCAAAGTTGAGAACCACTGGGTTATATATTTATTGGCCTTCAGGGCGATCTGTCATGAAGGACTGGAATGTCTTGCGTTGCTGTGAAATCACCACATTGTTGCAAATTTGTCAAATCCTGCACAAGGCTGGAAAATTCATGTCCTGGAAACTCATGCATATAATCTGTTTCTGAATACCATGCATGTCTCTCATCTACTTTAATCCCTAGAAAACCCATTCTTCATTCTAAATGATAGATAGAAGCAAAAAGTCCTTTCAAACTTGATTTACAGGTAGTTTCTTAAATTGTTGCCTTAAAGCAGATGTTTCTTCAACTGAGTTTGTTTTTTTTTTTCTCTGAGCAGCAAAGACCGTGGAGGAATTACTGTGTCCATCTCAGGACTGTTTATTGCAGTTATCTTCAGAGTGTCAAGGGATGGCACAGGCCGCTTGTCCGTGTTGCTACACAATTGCCAGCTGAGCATTAATAGTGTAAAAGTCAAGTTAAATGGAGGATCTAGGTATGTACAGTATATTTTCTAATTACTCCATGGGAAATAGCAGGGTTTGTAGCACAAGGGCCACTTTTCAAAATTTGACTTTTAGGGATCCAGTTGCAGGATATGACTAACTATTGAAAATAGATTTTTAAAGGTCTCTTTTCAAAACCAGGCTCCTTTGCTGAATGTGTGAAGTGCGATTAATCTACACTTCTTTGTGTATGTGCCAACAAATGAGCTAACTAAACATACTGCATATGAAAAAAATGCTGTTTGGACATATTAAAGAATACAAGATTGCAAATATGAAGGTGGTCTGCACTGATTATGCCTTTTGACAAGCTGAGCTACCATTTCAGAATAAAACTTTCACTTTTTTTTAATAAAAACAGTCAACTGCAGAGTCTACCGAAATTGCTGTAATCATATCTCATTGATATAAATGACATTGACATCCCAGTCTGCAAGATTTAATATTTCAAAGATTTCAGTCCATGGTAAAAAGTAATTGTGTTCATTTCCTTTCCTCCAGTTGGATCTACAGCTTTCTCTCTGGTTATCTTGAGGAGCTCATTCACACCAAACTGTATAAAAATGTAAGTTTGCAAAGATGGTTTCAGCTAGTGAAGGGAGGAGTTGAAATACAGCCCTTACATTACTGGCTTGTCTCTCTTTTCATATAGCTATGCCTAGCTATCAAATACAAGATCCAACTGATGGATGCTGAGCTAAGAAAGCATAAGGGTGAGTTTTTTGTTAAGCAATTTGTGAGGTTTTTGTTAAGTAATTTTCATAGTGCTCAAATTGTAGCCTTTTTTATTATATGCCAAACCATTCCTGTGTTCACAGTACAAAAAAAGTGAAGGAAGAAAGCTATGTCCATTGTTCTGTACCTTAGCCTCTTCCAGAGTTGACCCTAGAAATCTCTTGCATACACCTTATATTCAATATTCAGATTTCTTCTGTATCCATTGCAGGTCACCTGTAATCTTTCGGTCTGTCGTAGCTCACCTGCGTTATTTCCTTAGATTTTTCAGATGAATATTTTCATGCTGATCCTTTATGTTCTTGGTACTGTGGACATAAGAAAACCTGAGTTAGCAGTAATTCACTGAAGACCTAGCAAACATCCCTGTAAGGTCTTGTAAACTTAGCACATCTTGTTTTGAACTTGAATTCAGTGAGATAACAAGGTGCTGCAGGAAGACTGTGTCACACTAAGCATGCTTCTCTTCACACAAGTTAACAATTCCTGTGTCGCTCTTGCAGAGACGTGAAGACAGTAGATATCTGTCTCCATATATATATATGTATATGCTTTCCAGAAAGCATATATATATATATATATATATTAAAAAGATTTTTACTTCCATAATAAGTCTCAAAGCTTTTTTTTTCCTTTTTTTGTTGTTTTTTTCCCAAGACTAAGAATATTTGTAGTTTTCACCAATTCAAATTCATTTAATTCACCTTAAGTCATTCAGGTCAGAGTTTGTTCCCACTCTTCACTTTGCATTGTGGATATTTCTATTATCTGCTCTGCTATTCAGAAGCAGAGTAAATAGACTTTTATTTTTCCTAACATGGCCTATACCTGCCATGTGCCAAGTACTGGCAAATATTACTGAATATCATGGTTATGAAGAACATTTTCTTATGCAGCACGTACCTAAATACTCAAAGGCTCAAAGGCACTGCAAGCTGTGCTGTCATATTAAGGAGTTCATAATCTCAGTGTGAATTCACCATTTCTCTTTAAACTCATCTGATTTTTATACACTATGAACAGACCTTCCAGTCTAATAAAAAATAACAATCAAGCTGAATTTGCATGCAAATACCTTTCAGAAAAAGTCTTCAATCATATTGTCTGATAAAATGCCCTCTATTGTTGTGAACAAACATCCCTTGTCTTCACCACTGATATGCTTAAAAATGTGCTAATGTCATCTTCCAGAGTGTTTAATAGTATTTATCAGTATTTCACTAATCAAATAGGAGAGTTTAGTTTTCTTGTGCAAACACATATCAAAAAAGGGAACTCTACCCTAGATACTCATTTTACTGCATGGGAGAGATTTCTGAGGAGTGTATTCAGATGTGAACAACAGGAGAACAAGGACTAAACCAAGAGGAATAAGTGACTGTTCCAGAGGGAGTACTCTTACTTTCTTACTTTTTCCCTTATAACAAGTTTTTTTTTTAATTTTCTTCTTCCTTCTCCCACCATTCTTCTTCTTCAGATTCAGCATTTCTATAATGCCTTTACCTTTAACTAAACAATAACTGTTCATGATGTGTTTTTGTACTAACAACTGTTTTGTTTTTGTCCATCATTCTAGTCTTAAACCAGATTGATGCCTTTGCACAAATAGACTATTCCCTAATTAGTTCTCCAACAGTCTTCAAATCACACATTAACTTGGATTTGAAGGTAATTTGTCTTTAATATCAGTGTGCTTTTTAAGACTCTTCTGATTCTCTTTTTTGTTTTTTCTTTCACTACAGTCTTACTCAGCTCTCCAATATTTTAATTAAGTAAAAAAGCAGTAAGACATTTGGTCATTTTGGGCAAGAGCTATTTTGGAAACCAGATGCAATTGCTTATTTAATAAATTACCTGCATTTGTTAACTAACTAAAGCTATTATTTAGAATTAAATTATTTCAGAGTTGAAACCCTTCAGAGGTGCTTTATAAACAGCATAGAATTGTTCTTTACAAACACAGCTCTTCCACTGCTGCTTGGTTTTTGCCTGTTACTGGTAATATGTAATCCATGATGGCTACCAATGTGATTGCAATCCAAAGCATTTGTTTTGAGATAACTCAGCATCTTTTGTATGTACAGCTCACACCCAAAAAAAGACTTCTTACCGCCAGACCTTGAGCAGCACACAGCAGTTTCTTTCTTATCTATTTTTCAACTTTGCTGTCAAGAGATATCTCAGCAATGCCTAGCTTTCACAGCAGCTTCAACAGTCCTTGTAATTCAGAGTATCCCCATGGCTCTCAGAACAGACTTCAGTGAAGAAAGATGTGCTAGAGCTGTGGCTGAAACTCTCCCTCTTGGTTATTTTGTTCAAGCAACTTTTACCATCCACAAAAAACACTCTGCAAGCAGGATATACATAGCTTAAAAGTACTAAGCAATTATTTATCAGCTGCTATAGCTAACTAGAACTGACAGGCTAAGCTTCAACATGCTGACACTCTGATGGGATACCGGATGAGTCTTTGTAAGTCACTTATTAATCAGTTAAGGAAGTTACTGGTCTTCAGTTCTTGGAACAGGCTGGTTTTTTATGGTTATGAATTGCCATGTTCCGACTCTCATCTTTTTTCTTAGGGTTTGATACCTTTCCATGACAGTATTTTTCTTGTTGAATCTTTCAGCTACTAACCATTACAGTGTCATTAATTACACTACTTACTGTAGTAAGTAATTCACACTTTTCTTGTCCTACATGGCCTGAGCTCACATACCCTCTTACATTTTAAGAATTGTTTTCTTAGCATAACTGAATAAAGGTCCCACACCTGTACAGCACCTAAACTATGTCTTGGAGGACTGGCAGCTGGACCAGGGCTATGAGTTAAGTGGTATAAAAGGCTCTTTTGTGTCTCTGTCCTAAGCAACTTTGAGTGCTCTTGGGGTGTGCCTGAAGATTTTCTTGAAATGTCACCCTTAGAATTAAATTAACAAATGTCTTTGCCACAGGAGAGAGAACTGTGGTCCAGGGGATGTTTTCTTGTGTCTCATAGCTGCAGTTCAGAATACTTACTTGAATGCTCACATTCAAACTTTGAAAGAATGAAGGCCAGATTTTCTCTGTGAAGCCTCCATTTTTCCAAAAGAGCCTAAATTTGCTGATTTTCACAGCATATCACAAACTTACTTGCTTACTTCAGGTTTTCTTTAATGTCAAGCTTTTCTTCATGTTAGGAAGGAATCTTTCTGTTCAACCACTGCTAATGCATTCTGACAGATACAAATGTTTACAACTAGAAATACTTGATAATGACTCTTTGCAGGGCACAGTCTATCCAGTAGGAAATCACACAGACCCTCCCTTTGTGCCAGCTCCCTTTGATCTCCCAAACCAGGGTGATTCCATGCTCTACCTGGGAGTCTCCAGTTATTTTCTTAAGTCTGCTTCACTGGCTTATTACAAAGCAGGGGCCTTTAACGTCACCATCTCCAAAGAGGTGAGTATAATTTGCGTGTAATGGAATTACAAATATCAGCAGTATGGATAGTCATCAAATGAGAGTAACACATTATATTTGCCATTTCACACTTCTACCTCTTGTAGGAGGGATTCATCACATTTATTTTGTATGTCATCATTTAAAATAGTCAAAGTCTTGCTCAGACCTAAGTCTGAAGTTCTTGGCAGCTCTAAGCAAGGAATGACAGATAAGAATATGACAGAGTTGGTGTGCAAGGAGTGGCAGAAAGAACCAAAAAAAAAAAAGATTTTCCCTTAGGAAAGGAAAGGCCAAGACAGGAAAAGTATACTGAAGCCACAATCTGCTGCATAGAGGCCCACAACAAATCTATTGGCTGTGTTGAGAGCTAGAATAAATCCTCAGACTTAACAGAGCAGCCGAATGAGGCAAGAGGCAGGTACAAGGAAACTAAGCTTTCAGCTGTGGGTGAAGAACATAGAGGACTTCTCTCAGAAATGCTGTTTCCACACTGGCATTAGTAGTCAGAGTTTCCAAGAAATTTTGCTAACTGAAACAGTGCTAAGAGGGTCTTTATAAAAATTGGTGACACAAATGGCACTGACAAACCTCATCAGTGGTCAGCAGCAGAAGGGCAAATGAGATTTTTGAATCCTGCCTCTGGCAGCTTCAGTATATTTCATCTAAGAAAGTCCCAAAGGCAGGAAGTAAGCAGGATGCCATGTCTGTTCTTTCAAAGAATAATGCTTGTTCACTGGTACATTCTTCTGAAACATGTCTATGAGAAATCTGTCTTCTGTCACACGGAGCACTGTGGGTTCCCTAGGAATCATTCTGGGACAAGGAAATACTAAATCAAAACATGGATCTAAAACTAAAGTAAGCAGGATATATTTTTTTCAACAGGGAAAACCTTATTTTCAAGCTGATATAATGATCTGATTTATTTCATTTGTTTACAGCTTGCTACTACTTTTAACCTAAATATCGCCTTATTCAAAGATTTTGTTCCTGAGGTGGGTACTTTTACTTGTACAGACCTTTTAAGAAAGAGCAGTAGCTAATGTTTCTTATGGATATTATCTCTGTACTAGCTCGTATGCAAAAGTTTGGAGGAGACAAGAAAACTGATCTGGTTTATGATTAGTGCAAGATTCAGACATACATGTCTACCTCTTCATAACTCTATGTTCTTCCTAACTATATCACACTACTCTTTAGTCATTCTCTGCCCTTCTTAAGTGCTGGATTTGCTGTCAGTCTCTGAAACAGTTATAAAGACTAAGTGGTAGACATGTGTGAGATCAGTCTCCTTTTATTCCTGTTCAAGGTAATGCTTTTGTCCTCTATGAGTTTCTCTATTTTTCAAAAGATTGGCTCCTTTGGAAGGTTGCCTCTTTTCCAAATCCTTTATATTGTCAGGGTCATTATTTTTTTTTTACAGGAATCACTCATTTCCCTCATTTCTTTTACATGCAATGCTAATCCCCTTGTCTTGAAATATGTTTTTCAGGAACAACCTTTTAATTATTTCTTTATATATGTTCAATATTAGTGGGTCTAAAACTTCATCATTTGTTTGTTGGTCTCTGAAACTCAGAGTATATGCAATGCTAATTTAATCATTTTAGTTGGTGCGATTAAAATTAAGTATTTTTAATATAGGTTAATGAACAAGAGGATTGGTATATAGCACCTGATTATGATGCAGCCACAGAAACTGTCGCTTAGGAAAAGGTTAACTCTGCATTCAACATTTTTTTCCTCTTTGAAATTCCACAGGTTGCTCTGAGTTACATAACAGGGTGCCCAGTGCTGCTGAAGCTGATGGCTACATCACCACCTGCAGTCAGTTTAAATGCAGACAGATGCATGCTACACATCACTGGCTGTGTAGAAATGTTTGCTGTTCTGCCAAATTCAACCACCCAGTACATCTTTACAGGGAATCTGGTAAGTAACGTGAGCTAGAAGGTAACATTCAGTGCTGGGGCTGAACAAATCACACAGTAATCTTCCAGATCCTCTGAAAATCATAGAGATCAGCATAAAATAGTATTTACTGGTCTGCCACAAATATGCGTACTGTTCTGTTGCATTTCATAGGATTTCATAGGGAGAAAACATGCACCCTGTATTGTAGAATTTAATAGGCAGGTGCAGCAAGCTACTTATGAAAGCCCATTTTTCTATGTGGGAGGTTGAGTGATTATTCAAGGATAAATTATAATGTACAAAAATGTGATTATCTAGTGCCCAGTCTTCCTAACTTGTTTCTTGTAAAATAGTTCAGTGTGTCCCCAGACATCTTTTCATCAGGTTGAAAGTGAAACAATTACGTCAGCCGTGCAAGGACTTAAATGATCCTAATGATAAGGAGGCAATCAGGGCAGTATTATCACTTTGCTCACACAATCTCAGTTGCTGTCAGAAAGCGGCAAATTCACTAGCTACACGTATTGACCAATTAAAAAGATTAGACATTGTGTTTCCAATCACAAAAGCAATTGCATTTGTGCCTGTATCTAAGACAGTATCTATCTGTGTATACAGTCACAGAAGACTGTTTTGTTTTTTTCCCTGCAGACAGCCAGTACCAGAGCCAATTTGACAATAACCAAACAGAAGTTGATTATCTCATTACTTCTGAAGAGGTAACCAAGGAAAATTCAGAAAGCAACATTAATTATCCCAACATTAGGACACGACAGAAATTCATTGTGTCAGCCTGGCAGTGCTTGTTTCACCATGAGAAAAAGAAAATTAGTTACCGTCTTTCTCACAGGGGTTCTAAGATACTTTTGACTGGTTGGTCTAAGTTTTGCAGATGGAATATAATAATGTTGTGGAACCACCATGTCTCTTGTGCAATGTGATGCCACCCCTTTTTGTAGGTTAAATACCTTTCCAGATAATGATGTTCAATTTATTGGTTATCTTAAAGACATCTGTTTCAGTCTGTGCTGATGTTGGAGAATGAAGTTCAGTAGTTTATTTCAAACCTTCTAAATGTTGCTGCTGTGCCATGTCTGAGCATCATGAACAGAACTGCCAGAGTGCAAGCACTGCACTGGACCACTGTCACTAGCTCTCCGTACACCTTCACATGAGGGGAAGGGAAAAGAGACTACCTAGCACATACTGCAGCAGCAGACACCATGTTATCAAACAAAAGAGACTAGAAAGGTGTCTGTAGTTTGAAGCAAAGCTCAGAGCTTTTTAGATTTTGCTTAGATCTTGCTGGGTTTGTGTTTACATACAGTTACAAGTGTTCTCAGCTGTCTTGCAACAAATTTTATTCACACTTCAAGCTGGGCTGGGTTTACAGCCCCTTTTTCCCTAAGTGCACCAGGTGGGTAGAAGCACAGACTTTCAGGCAAGTAGCCCACATTGATGTTTCTTCTTGTTAGCTCTGTACTCCAAGTTGGGGCAGAATTCCAGAATATATTATATTTTTAACCTGTTACATTTAAATTGAAGAAAAATGTGAGCAGCCTTTTCTTAGTTTTGGTCACTGGACCTTTTTAAGAGGAGAAGAGGCTTTATAGTGATCAGAGTCTGTTGGTATAAGTTTGAGAAGTAATGGTGTCACTCACTTAGAGCCTTTGACAGAAGAATGTCTTCTTCCCCAGGATTATATTTATGGTGATCTGAGGATGCATTACAGGCATTGGTGGGAAAAGTTACAAAATCATAATAGTTAGGAATGGATGTGAGTTTATTCAAATCATATTGAACATTTGAGGAATGTGTAGTTCATCCATTGCAGGAAATGGCAATTCCAGAAAAATTTAATTTTCCAAGTCTTATAGTCACAGCCCAGGACAACACATGAATGTAGGAGAAGATTACTATCAGAAAGATCCCAGTGATTCTAGAACTCATTTGTAGTTGTGCCAGCTTTGATTAAAAGCTGTTGGGAATCAAAGAGTCTTTGGTAAACTTAAATGTGTGGATCATCATGCAATCAGTATGAAATTCCACAAATGAATCTTCAAATGGTGTGCATAACTTGTGCCTTCATCCTTCCTAGTGAATCCTCTTCTTTTGCTTCTTTTCTTCAGGCTCCAGTTCTCCCTGCTGCACTCCACTCTTGGCTCCTCTGAAGTAAGTTGATGGTTTCAGTGCCTAGGAGAGGTAGCTGAGTCCTTCAGAGATAAAAGAAATTCATCTGAACTTGTTGCTGGACAATTCTTGGTCTGTCTTGGGGATATCATCTGCCACTGCTCTTTCTGCTTTGAAATAGTATATTCTCTGCTTTTCTTTTTCTTTCCAGTAAGAGGAAATACCTCTTGGAGTGTTGGGGTTTTTTTCTCATCAGAGGCTCCAAACGTTATGTAGTTATTACCATGTAACATTAATTGAAACAAAGAGAAATGTCTTCCTGTGTCTGCATGACCTAGCAAGACATCATAGCTGATTCTGCTCACTTCTGTATCCAGCAGCACAAAGGCAGGCATGGGGCTAGCACCTCTTCCAGCTGTTTCTGAGAGCCAGCCTGAATTCACAGCTGGATTGAGAAGGCATAGCAGTTGGAGTGAATACAGAGATAGGCTTAAGCTCAGTTTCAGGAATTATCTTGAATCACTTTAAGCAAATACCATAAAAAGGGAGTCAAAATAGTGAATAAAAGAAACACCATGCCTCTGCTTAGATTGTTCAGTGCAGACTGAGAAATGGTCAGTGCGAGTCTGCAGCAGCTCACCCCAACCTAACTCTTTAAGTGAAGGGAGGAGGACACTAATCACAGTGGCATAAGACAGAGCACCGGAACAGGGCAGTTCTTGCCACCCAGAGAACAGTTCACTTCTGAGAACTGAGTCCTGGCAGCTGAAAGGGAGTTGAACAGATTTCATTCCTAAAGTTAAGGTTCAACCCAGATACTTAACAGAAAAAAAAAACTTCAGTTTAACATCCTGTGAGAAAAATGGACACCTCTTTGCCACGTATATCGGAGATTTTCTCTGCCAAGCTCTGTTCAGAGCTTTTTGCATGTCACTCCAGTTCTAATCCTCCATCTCTCCTGACAAGCTGCAATCCCATAGGCATCAGGCAATAATCACCAAATGTGTTTTTCCCCTTCACAGCAGATGTCACTGGTGGAGAATTTTTTGTCTTACACTTTACAGAGTGCAGTGATTCCAGTAATCAATGGTAAGGATTGTGGCCAGTTCCTGAGCACATTTGGTGGGTAAGCAAGACTGAAACCATAAAAGGGAGTGCCTGGCTTTAAAGACTGTTATGGGAGGTTTTCTGTCCATTTGGCTACACCTGGACAGGTCTACTCTGTGCTGGACTTCAGTGCTGGTCTCTCAGTCACCTGGATCAGGGGCTGGGGCAGAGCAAGTTTAGGCTCCCTTCCAAACACTGGACTTGGGTTTCCTTTTCACTGGACGCAGTGTGGCAGCAGAGCTGAGACATGCTTGAGTCTTGTCCTGACACAGAGTCAAGCCATGACCAGAGAATGGCCCAGACTGGGGAAGCACAGAAGCACACTTGCATCTTGAGGCTTCAAGGTAGCATCTCTGACTTCATCACCTCCCTCTGCCTTTGTGCTTCACCTGCTGCCACAGGCAGGACAAAGTAGAAAATCAGCTCAGTGGGATGCAGAGAGTGAGGGATGATGAAGAAAGAGGTGAAGGTGGAAAGGAGCATGTGGAAAAGTACAGGAGGTCCCTATGAGGTAAACAGAGGTGAGGAGACTGCTGAGGAAGGAAGTGAGCTGTTGATGAGAAGGGATGCAAAAGTCTCAGGCTTGGAAAAGCAAATAGGCATAGAGCTGGGAAATCCAGGAAAGTAGGGATAGATGAGAATAAGAGAGACCAACAGGACTGGAGGATCAGGAAGAGAAGAAAATTAAAGGAAGATGGAGAATAAGTCAGAGTGGGAAACAGCAGAAATGAGATCTTGTGGGACAGATACCTGGAGGGGAGCAAAGGCCATCAGATCCCAGTGTCAGACAGTTGAGAGATAGTAAGAGGTTTTTATGCAACTGTTTAATAGGATTTTTTGCTTTTTAGTAAATACGAATAATAGCTCCCTTGAGAGGCACAAGGACAGTTGATAAAATGGAAATTGCAAAACAAATTTAGTTCCTTGAGAAAGATGCTTCAGAAGTGCATTTTATTATTACATTAAAATGTATTTATATTTGTCCTTTCTGAAGAAAAACTCGGAAAAGGATTTCCTCTCCTTAACTTCGCCCACACTACCCTGACTGGACCTGTAATAAAAATGAAGCAGGTGAGAAGCCCAATTTCTTGTTAAAGAATATTGCTTCTTTTTCAGCACATTTGTATGTCTTCCTGTGTTGGGTAGATCTATACGCTGCTAATAGTAACGCTTTAACTATACACTAGATATAAAATCCAAACTCTAGATCAAAAATGAGCCCTTCACCCCCCACCCCTAGCAGTTGTAGGTTATAAAGGGTCCACTTGTCCTTTTGGGGTATGCCAGCATGGGGACACCACAAGAACAGCTCTGCTACCCCCATCAGGGCTTAGGAACATTGAGTGCATGAGTCCTCACTACTCTGACCATCCTCTAGGAAGGTTCATAGGCAACCTGAGTGTATCTGTGATGTTACTCAGCCTTTTGGAGGGTTGTATTAACTTATATCAGAGCTCAGTCCTACCCTAAAGTTACCTAAAGATCAGAAGGCACAAAGCCACTCTTGTCTCCCACCCTGCTGAGGGCTTACCATGGGATCTAGTCCCAGACTACTGTCCCTGAATATGTCCATCTGAAATTTAAGGTAATTTTACTTGTTCTTCTTTCCTTAGGGTCATCTGGTGATTTCCACTGATGTTCACTACAAACATGAAGAAGAGGAAGATGAGGACCTTCACAGTCACTCATAGTGTCCCTTTACGTTTAAACAATAATAAGAGAAAGATGTAGTCTTCCTGCTGTTGGCTTGTAGTGAATAGAGAGTAGATGCTGTAACATTAGAAGCGTGGCTTTTCATCACTATTTTTAATGTTTTAGTAAAACTTATTAATAACTTCTCACAAACTGAATCTGTTGGTTTTCAGAACAGTGAGTGTAGCTGACTGTTACTGATGCTCTAGAAAACTTGTTGCAGCCTGATGAGAAGGAGTGACTGGTTCTTTTCACTAGAGTTATAGACACCACATTTTATTAGTTTTAGGAACCAGTTCTTGCATTATTGAATTTATCAATATTAGTCTTAGCAAAACTTTGTGTATGGAGTAAGACCTTATTCTTCATAGAATTTCACAATTTGTCCCTTTGTAACTGGATACCAAGAACTGGAACAGGTTTATAAAATCCAATGAATTATCATAGAATTATAGAATCATATTATCTAGTCCGGACCCTGGCTCAAAACAGGACTATATAGATTAGGTTGCTGAGGGCTGTGTCCAGTCAAGTCTTGGACCCCTCCAAGGATGGAGGTTCCACAGCCTCTCTGGGCAACCTGTCCCACTATTTAACTACCTTCATAATAAAGTTATTTTTCCTAATATCTAATCAGTATTTCCCATGTTCCAACTTGTCCTGTTGCCTTTTGTCCTATCACAACACACTTCCAAGAAGAGTCTGGCTCAATTTTCTCTGTATTCTCTGATCAAAAAGTTGTAGACAACAAAAAGGTCTTTCAAGCCCTCTCTTCTCCAAGCTGAACAGGCCTGATTTCTCAGACTGTCCTTATAGGTCATATTATCCAGCCCCCTTGGTGGCACCTGCTGGACTTGATCCAGGATGTCAATATCCTTCTTGTACTGGGGACCCCAAATTTGACACACTTCTCCAAATGCAAGTGTCAAAGAGAGGGGAAGAATCACTTACCTGGACCTGCAGACTTATGTTCAACTTGTCCACTAGGACTCCCAGATCCTTTTCTGCAGAGGTGCTGTCTAAACAAGCCACCAGCCTTACTGCTGCAGGGAATTATTCCCTCACAGATGCAAGACTTCACACTTGCTCTTGTTAACTTTATGTGGTTCCTGTCAGCTCACTGCTCCAGCTGGTCCAGGTTTCTCTGCATAGAAGCCCTGCCCTCCAGCATGTTGACTGCTCCCCTCAGTTTGATGTCATTCACAAACTTGCCAAGAGTGCACTCTGTCCCATCATCCAGGTGGCATTAAACAGTATTGGTCACAGTATTGATTCCTGTGGGACCTCCAGTAGTTACTGGTCAACAGCTGGACTTCACTGATCACAGCTCTTTGATTCTGGCAGTCCAGCCATTTTTCCACCTACCTTCTCCAGCCCATGCGCCACCAACTTGGTGATGAAACTAAGGGAGACTGTGTCAAAGGCCTTGCTGAAATTAAGGTATAGCACATCCACTGCCCTTCCCTTGTCCACAATACCAGTCAGCTCATCACAGAAAGCAATGAGGTTGGTCAAGAATGGTCTGCCCTTGGAAAAACCATGCTAGCTGCTCCCAGTCACCTTATCCTTCATGTGCTTTAGAAATGGCTTCCAAGATATTTTGCTCTATAACCTTCCCAATGACTGAAGTGAGACTGACTTCTCTGGATCATCCTCCTTGATCTTCTTGAAGACATTTGCTGAAGATGTCTGCCTTTTTCCAGTCATGAGGAATGTCTCTTAAGTACCATCACTTTTTGAAGGTGATAGCAGATTCACAATGAGATCAGCCAGGCAGAACCTTCAGCACCTCCAGATGCATCCTGTCCAGTCTCATGCATTTGTGTATGTCCAACTGGGTTAAGTGATCCTGAGCTCTGTCTTGCTCTGCTGTAAGTGCTGCCTCACTCCCACAGACTCTGCTAGGAGCTTCAGCAACCTGGGAGGCCAGAGGACAAGTCTGGCTAGTAAAAACAGCCTTTTCTATGTCTCTTGTCACTAGTCCTCCAGCCCACCGAGCAATAAGCTCACAGTCTCATTAGCCTTCCTTTTGCTATTGATGTACTTACAGAAACCTTTCCTGTTGCCCTTCACCTCCCAAACTAATTTCAGCTCCAACTGAACTTTGGCTTGCCTGACTTCATTCCTCCATGCGCAAACAGTATCTTTGTGTTCCTTCCAAGTAGCTGGTCTCGGTTTCCATCTTCTGTATGCTTCCTTTTTGTGTTTGAGTTCACTCAGGAGCTCCATGTTCATCCATGCTGGCCCTCTGCCACAGCTGCTCAACTGTCTGAAGATTGTAATGGACTGTTCTGATGCTCTGATGCAGCTGGCCTTGAAGATTAGCCAGCTCTTCTGAGCCTCTGCTCTCCAGGGCAATTTCCCACAGATCCTGCCAAGGAGGTCCCTGAAATCTTCTCATCTGAAGTCTATAGCTGTAATTCTGTTCTTTGTCTTGCCCGCTCCTCCTAGGATCTAAAACTCCACAGGCGCATGCTCACTGCAGCCAAGGCTGCCCTTGGCCTTTACATCATCCAGCAGTTCTTCCTTGTCTGTGAGGAGCTGCAACTCTTTGAGGGTATCGATCTCCAAATCATTCTGTACATCTCATATTTGTAAAACAGAGCTGGAAGTTTTCTTTTGCCTTGTGTCACTGTTCCCTGAGACATTCAACCAGGAGATATAAAAGCGTATGGAAAGGAAAACTAGTCTTGACAACAAATGTCACGTTGTTCACAATACAAATGTTCAGTTCCAATTTGGGACAGAAATGTGGCTTGTGTTTGATTTTTAGCTGAATCAGTTTATTTATCTAGCTCTCTGCTACAGTTTTTTTCTAAAAAAGGCATCCTGAAACAGCAGTAAATCACAGCAGGACTTCCTATTCATTGCCTTATGTCATAGGTCAAGAATGGAAGAAAAACTCAAAAAAAAATGTTATTTTTAAATAGTTTGGTGTCATTCATTGATAACTCTTCAGGCACTTTCTTCTGCCTATTTGGGTGAGAATTCATGAGATGTAGGAGAAAAAGAAAACTAAAGCCCAAGTGCTCATCTCTTCTCTCTTCTTATGGGACACATGCTCCAGGACCGACCAACGAGTGCCATGGCCCTTTTCAGACCAGAGCCTTTTAAGACCAGAGCCTTTTCAGACCAGAGCCATGGCTTAGCACAACACTGCCCCTTAATTAAGCTCTAGCCCTCTGGCTGCTCACAAACTGATGAAGTAGTAGTTTCTCGAGGACTAAAGAGGGTGTTCTATACACCAGCCGTTCCCCTGTATCATCCTACACTTACCTACTGGTTAATACACCATTTTTGATCTGATGTTGTTTCCTGATTGACAGAACAATGGAGATGATGCACGTCCATCAGTGTGCTACAGACTAGAGCACATGGAGAAAGGGGAGAATTGGGGAGGCAGGGAAAGGGGACTGCTGGAGCACTGTGCCAGAGGCAACAACTGGAGTCATGCAAAGCCAAAATGATCTGCAGAGATGCAGCAACAAATCCTCATTGAATCCCGTACTGATCACTGGCTTTCTTGTATATTGGGTAAAAAGGATCGCAATCTATATCCCCTTTAGCATATAGATTGAACCAAATGCTTGGTGGCTCAACAGAAAGTTGAAAACATTCCTTTTAGAGGCTCTTTTAACACCTTGAAAGGTGGAAAGTTTGGATGTAAAAACTATTTATAGCATATTTGAATGTGCTATCTGAATGTGTCTGTAAGCAGGTATTTGGCTTTTACTGCTATATTTGTAGAAAGAAATGATGAAAGTGTTCTGGAAGCCTAGTGTGACTTTTGTTAACTTTTGCTGAGAGTTTTATCTGAACTGGGTGGTACTCCATTAGAAGCACCATAAATGTTAAAAGGACATGATGAAGATAAGCTGAGATAGTTTTCAGACAATTCAGTTGTTTGTAAATCTCGGAGATCTACGTGGATGGATACAGTGGAGCTTTTCCCTTACTTTGAAGGGAATGCAGAACTTGTGCAAAAAAATTAAAGGAGAGTTTTATGTAACTGAAGATGTGATTTTTTATTCATTCTCAATTGCCAGAGATATAAATAATGAAATTATTATGCATGTGACTCCCTGGGGTGAATGTTAAATCTGTGTAAAATATGAGTATTTGCTGACTGACTGACAAATGTCTCTACCCTTTTCTATTCATGGATTGCACAATAAAGTGACTCAGATTGTCCAGGGAAGTGCTCCATGCCTGAGGGAATTTGCCTGGTTTACATGCAAGCTAATTGATTAAATCACCTCCTTGAAAAGCCAAGTAGTACTGGTTAGCTAAAGTACTGGTTAACTGGATAAGCAGGCAGAAGAAATAGAAAATATTGACTGCAAGGACTTGATACAATATACTTGCACCTTATATATACATTATAGTATATCTATGTTATAATAGAAATATTATATAACTTATGGGTTTCTGTATCCTGAGCAATTTCAGAACAGATGGGCCTAGACAGTTGTTTTCCATCTGTTCTTCCTAGCAATGGCACATTTATTTATTTATTTCACAATACAGTCCTGGCTATGAGTATCAGTCCTGTGGAACTACTGGAATAGGGGCTCCACTGGGGTTTCCTGTCAGGTCCATCTGAAAAGTCACTGCCGAAATGGTATGCCACAAAGGCAGCACCCCACCCTGAGCTCAGCATCCCAGCACCTGAACACCCCCACCCAACAGTTTACATTGCCCCCTGCTTAGGCCCTAAATGAAATTAGAGGGTTAGATTTAACCTGGGACATCCAAAATAGTTTGGGAAATGATTACCAGAGAGGCCACTCCCTGCATGATACTCCTGAAGATGGCAGCAATTGGCGCTCTTCAAGCTCAGAGCTCTTTCCTTTAAAAGACTGGGTGGTGGCTGCAGAGGGTTCTCCCTGCAGCATCCTTATCCCTGTGGTCTGGTACAGCAAGGGTCTTCTCTTTGGCCTTCAGAGGAGAGGTATAGTAACAAATACGTTTTGATTGTTTTCTTGTGGCGTGGTTTTGT